GAGATCTAGACATAGATGGATAGGTAGAGAGTCCCCCAGGCCTGTCTCGGCCTCTGGGACGTCCTGTGATGCCCCGTTATAGGCTTCTGTGTCCCTAGGGCCTTTTCTATCCTCTTTCCTTAGACCAGACTCTCCTGAGGTGACACAGGACACAGAATGAGCGTCTCTTTCACAGAAAGCGTGTCCCACCCCACGGCCAGCCGTCTGCTTCTCGCGTTCCTCTGGCCGAAGAGAAGCAACCGTTGTTCTTCGTACAAGGGCCCCTAGCACTCCTCCCAACACCCTCGTTTATACAGAGGGACAGTCAAAACGTGAGCCCCGCCCACCCCCCTCTGAGCTGTCCCTCCTGGCTCAGGGCCTGTGCACTGGCCAGGCCTTCTCCCTGGGGTCCTGGCCCCTCGGTTCTCTGTGGGGCCCCTTCCCTTCCCTCCTGCAGGTCTTAGGGAAGGCCTGTGGGTCACCCCACCGCACTGTCACCCCTTCCTTTGGCCTCCCATGTCCTCGCATCTCCCTCACCTGCTGTGTTATTCACGGCGGCGATCATCACTGTCTCAGACGTCCCCGTCCTTGCCACGTCTGTCTCCTGTTTCTTCCTTCCGGGATGAACGATGGGCGAGGCCATGCCTGTCCTGTCACTGCCCCCGCGATGATATCGAGCTATTGCCACCCCTTCTGGAACTCGCTTTTCTCCACATCACCCTTTCGAGATCTAGCGACCCCTGTGATGAAGATGAACTTTATCCCTTTCCAATGCTGGCCCCCTGGCGTGGCCCAGTGGTTGAGCGTCCACCTAGGAACCAGGAGGTCACGGTTCGATTCCCGGTCAGGGCACAGGCCCAGGTTGCCGGCTGGATCCCCAATGGGGGGCGTGCAGGAGGCAGCCCATCCGTGATTCTCTCTCATCACTAATGTTTCCATCTCACTCTCCCTCTCCCTTCCTCTCTGAAATAAATAAATATATGTATTTTTAAAAGCCTATATAATAAAACCTGATATGCAAATTGTCCCCTCAACTGGGAGTTTGACCAGGGGGTAGGGCCAGGAAGGGAGGCCTGGAAGGGAGCAGGGGGCAGGGCCAGCGATAGCGGGCGGCCAGGGGAAGGGAGGTGCCCCAGCCTGTAGCCGCCAGGGACCCTACCCGTGTACAAATTTTGTGCACTGGGCCTCTAGTAAGTAAATAAAATAAAACGCTGTATAGTGATCCATAGAATAGCTCACACCCTACTTTACTTACGCATTTTCCCAATTGGACATTCACGGAGGTTCCACTGACTGTCGTCATGTCACAGTGAGCACTGTGATCCGTCCCCACGTGCCATTGTGCTAAACTCCGGGGCATCTCCCTAGAAATGAACGCACAGGGCTAGGAACGCAGGACACGTGTGTTCTCTTCGTTTCTGCTGTCCCGGAGGCAGGACCAATTCACGCGCCCACCAGCAGCACGCGGCTCTGCTGGGAGTTGCCACCGTCCCTGGGGCCCTGGCCCGGGGTCCCCCACGGGCAGACTCCCAGACGTGTTGGGCCCAACCCACGTCACTCGGGCTCCCAGCAGACGTACCTGCGGGTGCGCTGGGGACTCGTGGCGAGGCCCTCCGTCACCTGGGTCCTCCTGAGGCCCGTTGTGGGAAGGGATGCCTGGCTGCCTGCACAGCGGCCACTCCTGGATGCTTGCTTGGGGAGGGGGCCTAGACGTCAGTTCTCACACTGTGGCCACCCGTCTGGCGTGGCTCAGGGGTTGAGTGCAATCCTCTGAACCAGGAGGTTGCAGTTCGATTCCCGGTCAGGGCCCAGGCCCCGGTTGGGGGCCCCAGGGTGGGGCGTGCAGGAGGCAGCCGATCCCTGATTCTCTCTCATCATGGATGTTTCTCTCTCTCCCCCTCTCCCTTCCTCTCTGAAATCAGTAAAAATATATATATTTTTAAAAATTTAAATACCCCCAAAACAAAAAAAACACAGTGGCTGTCCCTACAAATGCCAAAACCAGCCTTAGACTTGGGAGCTTGGAGGACTCCGTTCGGCCCACTCATCGCATGTTCTAGCCTGACCACCCACTGGAGGGGGCACCCCAGTGTCAACGTGAACACACACACACACACACACACACACACAAAACAAACCTGTAAAGAATTTTGTGAGTTTATTTGAGCCAAACTATGGACAACGCAGTGGTTCTCAACCTTCCTAAGGCCGCGACCCTTTCATACAGCTCCTCATATTGTGGTGGCCCCCAACCAAAAAATTACTTTCGTTGCTACTTCATAACGGTAATGTTGCTACTGTTATGAATCGTCATGTAAATATCTGATATGCAAGATGTATTTTCATTGTTACAAATGGAACATCATTAAAGCATAGTGATTAATCACAAAAACAATATGTAATCATAGATGTGTTTTCCGATGGTCTTAGGCGACCCACAGGTTGAGAACCGCTGTTAGATGCAGACAGGCGACAGGCTCGGTGGAAGTTGCCCTTCGGCCGCAGACACGACCACCCCCCTCCCCCACCCCGTCAACCGCTTTTGGTGAAGTGTTTCACTCCAGACCCTCCTTTGGGGCTCCTGGAGGTCTCGGGGATTTGCAAAGCCGCCGGGCAGGCCTTCCCGAGCGCCCAGCTTAGCATGTGGCCTCCCCCCTTTCCCGTCCACGGCGGGAGCAATGGCTTCTGGACCCGGCAGCCTTCGGTCCCGAGTCTGGGGCCTAAAACCTCAGGAACTGCACCGGGTTTGCCACGAGGATGAGCCGCGCGGGTTGCACACGCGCAAACCCATCACCCCGTTTGCAGGAAACGCCCCAAAGCCTGCGGACCGATTCCACACTGTCGCGCCCCCACTCCCCCCCCCAGGTCCTGATGGAGACCCAGAGGCAGGGATCGGGGACCGCACCCTCACCAGGGCGCCGGAAGGGCTGCCGGGCCTGCGTGC